CAGTTTCCATTGTTCTGGTCCCAAAAAAGCATTATTCAAAACAATCCTGTGTCGAGGGGGAGAAAGTCCACCATCATGCCATGCCATAAGACCTTTAGGATGATTTTTATCCAAAGAGTCTGGTTTGATTTCAACTAACTTGTGTAACATAATCACATAACAAAATTTTATAATCATCACTACAATTATTTAAAAACACTCCTCTTGGACATTCCTCTATCTATTATAGAATAATTACTTAATGAATATAATTTGCCATGGGGAGATCGGCATGGAGACCACCTAGGCTTATGTTTATATACATAGTTTTGATAAGAAAATCCTTTACACACTGGATATGACCCTCCTTTTGAATTATAAGTATATTTATAGGATCTGGCCAATGACATTGCTGTGAACATTCCCATAATCATACAGGAACCTGGAACAGGAGGGAGGATTTAAGCCCACCACCACTCTTGAGTTTTAAAACAAGCAGGATCCTCCACTAAACAAAGAGGCAGTGACTCATAGACCAGAGAAATATTGTGTAAGACCGAGGGCCTTACCAAACACTCCGAGGAGCTGACTGCAGCGAAGAACACCCGGGAGGGAACACACCAGACAAGTTGGAAAAGTAAAACAGACCTTTATTAGTCTGGCCAGACGGCACCCTCCAAGGAAACAAGCTTAGAGAGGGCCCCGAGCTCAGGGAGTTGGAAGGTTTTATAGGGGCTGCAGGGGTGCTTGTGAGCAGAACTACAGAAGCAGAATTTTTGCAGTTAGGGGATGGTTGGGGGTGGGGGTTGCAGATGTTCTTTACTTAGCAAACAGGGTGTTCCTTACACAGAAACAATGGTACATTCCATGGTGTCTTAGCAGATAAATAAGTACATTCCGGGAACTCTGTGTCCTGTAGTGAACCCAAAACCCACAGGGACAAGATGGAGGGCCTGTAACAAGATGGTGTTACTTGTGCTAAGTCTCATCTCAGTCTTAGTATTGAAAGGAATTCCCTCCTCAGAGTGAAAGGTGGGAATCCCCATTCCCCAAGGAGGAGGTAAATAAGTAGATTCATTAGTATAAACTAAGGGGCCAACCTCATTCCATTCTACAATTTCCAATAAAGGTGGATGGGGAACATAAGCCCAATAATGATGATCCTAAGCACTCACTCCAGTTGAAGCACAAGCCATGACAGCCATCATAGCCAAAAACAGGTTCTCAGGTGCTTGAGAAGAAGAAGTATGTGTCAATATTTGCCCAGCGCGATGAGTCAAAAGTTTAATCTGGCCCCAGGTGGGAGGATCAACCTGATAGCGAGGAGCCCAAGGTTTTCAGTTTCCCTTGATCTTTAGAGCTGCCATTTCCTGAACAGGAGGTTGGGGTGCCCCTCCCCTCAAGGCTGTCTTTATTCCCTCAGGGCTGGGCTCTGGGAATTTGAATACCACAGCTTCCCTGGGCCTTACTTTCCAAAGAGGCAACCATATTTCTCGATTGGATCCATTCTCTAAAGAAACACAAGCATAACCTCAACCCTGAATTAATAATTGAGCAGGTTCCCACACATTTTTTTCAAAAGTTTGGACCCAAACTGGTTGGGGAGTCTCCAGAGGAAGTGTGGTTTCCTGAAAATGTAATTTTGCTTTAGTTAATGTCTCCCCTTGTGGTAAGTTCAAAAAATTTAAAATAAACAGAGCCATATTTAATAATTCTTGTGGTGATTATAACATTTTAAATAACTTTCTTCTATATTCCTTTTGATTAATATAATGTGTATTTGCTATCAAATCCTCTACCTTTTCTGTGTACGCCCCATATTCCCCCTTCTTTAATTTATGTAATTGTAATTTAAGAGTTCTATGGGTTCTTTCTACTATAGCTTGACCTTGAGGATTATAAGGAATCCCTGTAATGTGTTGGATCTTCCACTGTTTACAAAATTGTTGAAATATTTTTGAAGTATAAGCAGGAGCATTATCAGTTTTCAGAATTTGGGGAGTGCCCATAACAGCAAAACAAGCCATTAAATGTTTAATAACATGGCCAGAAGGTTTACCGGACATAGCAGTAGCCCACATAAAAGAAGAATAAGTATCTATAGTAACATGAATATAAGCCATTTTACCAAAGGAAGGAAAGTGGGTGACATCCATCTGTCAAATATCGTTAGGTTGTTTTCCTCTAGGGTTACTACCCATTGGGAGGGAATGGATATGTAAAGGGCGACAAATAGGACAACGAAGAATAATTTGTTTTGCCTGAGAATAAGGGATCTTATATTTTTGATGTAGTCCTTCTGCATTAGTATGTAAATGAATATGTTCATCTTTAGCTGATACAAAAAATACCATAGTTCTCTTGAGTTTATCAGTTTGTTTATTACCATATGTTAACAGGCCAGGCAGTCCTGTATGGGCTCTTATATGAGTAATGTATATTGGAAAAGAACGAGCTCATAAAAGTTCCTGAAGGAGAGAAAAGAGCTCCAAGAGTACAGGATGTCTTACTGTTAAGAAAGTAGTCAATATATTTTTAGTCACATACACCACATAATTAGAGTCTGTAATAACATTAATAGCTAAAGGAAACAACTTTAGAACTTGAATAAGAGCATACAATTTATTTTGTTGGGCAGAAGAATATTGAGTAGGAAATACCTTATAATTTTTTTCCCACCATATAGCAGCACAACCCTGCTAATAGTATTAATAAAGATATTAAGAGCATCAGAAAGAGGATGTGGTGAAACAACTGAATCAACAATCCACTGAGTATACTTAAAGAATTCCCATATCTTAGCAGAAGGGTAATGGTATCCGATTTGACTAAAATATGCATAAAGTGATAATTGAAATGCTGTGGATAAAGTTAATAAATAAGTAAAATGTTCAGAATTAAAAGAAAAAATTATTACTGCTGGCTCAGCTCTAGTGAGCTGATGGATTCGGGATCGACCTTGAAAAACAAGAAGAGATATTAAATCATAATAAGGAACAACATTTCTTTTTTGTGTATGTTTTGCATGGATCTATTCCACAGGTTGATCCTCTTGGGCAATTAATGTAATGAGTGTACCTTCAGAAGGCAAAATTATTAAATCGAAAGCTTTAGATAAATCTATCCTAACTATAAATTATTTCTTTTTTTTTTTTTTGGTACCAATATAAGTTCCTTTTGTGCTTCTGGTGTTAACTCTCCAGGGCTGTTTAGATCTGAATCTCCTTGTAATATCTTTAAAAGATTATGTAATTCCATAGAAGAAATTCCTAAGGATGGGCGAATCCAACTAATATGACCTAATAATTTTTGAAAATCATTTAATGTTTTTAAATGCGATAAATCCAATTTCATAAGTTGTGGCATAATTTGTTTTTGATTTATGATATATCCAAGATATTGATAAGGGGATTTTATTTGAATTTTATCAGGAGTTGTAATCAACCCATAGCGCTGTAAATCCACCTCAACCATTTTTTAAGGTCATCTCAATAAGTGCAGTAGCAAGCATCTTTGCTTTATGAGATTGTGAACCGATATTTTGACAGGCTTTTGAATAATCCCAAAATGTCCCTGTCTCTTTAATGGGTAATATAGCCTTTTGACAATCCTCATTAGCATTTTCAAAAGCCAGCAATCTTTCTGTCTGCAAGCCTGTTCTCCAACCACTACCCTGGATATGGCCATTTTTAATCTGTCAAGGAACTCAGAATAAGGTTCATTAGGCCCTTGATATATTTTAACATAATTTTGTTTTGGTTCTCCCTCTGGGGAAGTATGATCCCAAGCTTTTAAAGCAATTTCCTGTAATTGATCATGAATTATAGGTGGTAATATAATTTGTTGAGCAACATCTTCAAACTGTCCTATTCCTGTTAACATTTCATAATTTATTCCAATATTACGAGCTGTATTTTCTTAGGCTTTTTTTTTTTTTTTTGGTACTGGGGATTTTTTTGGGGGGGTCCTTGAGCTTGCAAAGCAGGTGCCAGAACCACTGAGCTAAATCCCCGGCCCTTCTTGGGCCTTTTGTATAACTAAGTCTCCATACGACATACGCCATTGCATATATTCACCTGGTTTTAATAAACTCGAATTATTGTAATCCAAACATAAGGAATGAAATTTCCAGTTGATCTCGCAAACCCATTTAACATATTTTTTAGAGAATTGAGAATGAGGTCCATACATCATAACAGTCTTTTTAACTGATTGTAATAATTGAATATCAAACCCTTCATATCTAGGCACAATACTTCCTTGACCTCCAGGTTGTCTAATTACAGGAAAAAGAAAAGGCTTATCATTGTCTGAACCTTCTATCTGAGCAATTTAGCAAACAAATCAGAAACGCGATGGTGAATGGAAGCAACTCTTTTTACTTTCGGTTTATCCCCAGACCCTTTTTTGACTGTAAGCTTAATAATATCAGAAGAATAATCAGGATCAGCAATTGGATCAGGAATTAGATCAGAATCAGAATTTTCAGAATCTGATGAGGAGCTAGGAGAGCGCTGCTGCTCACCCCTCGATCCCGATTTTAAAGCTTTTGGGGAATCATGGAATGAAATCAAATCCTCCGGAGATGCCAGTCCCGGAGGGGGAAACAGATTTTTACTTTCACTTTTAACTTTGTCCTTTTCTGCATCAGGTATTTCCTATTCCTGAAAAGACCATTTTGCCAAATTGTAAACTTCCTCCCTCTTTAATGTCCTTTCAGATGAAAGTGGATTCATTACCGCAGGAATCAGAACCCAAATAGGCCAAAAGTCGACTGGAATGTTCTCTCCCTGTCGCAAAGCCTTTTCCACATTTTGTTTAACCCTTACCCAAGTCTCATCTTCCAATGTTCCAGTATCAGGAAACCAAGGATTATATTTTGTTACTACTTTTAAACAAGTTTTTATACGAGCTCGGGACATGTGGGGACCTTGTGTCTTCAACAAATGATGAACTAAAGTAGTAAAAACAGCACCACGTCCCTGTGCTTGCCCCATAACCCCGTTGTTAGTTTCTCTTACCGTCGATACAGCCTGAGCCGCTATGTTCAGGTCCCTGTTCAGGCATCACTTGTTGGGGTCTCCTTGGTGGGAGACTGGAACCTGAAGACAGTATCCGACGAAACCTATTAAATGAAGGAGCACGGGGACCAGAACTCTGTGTGGAGTTAAGGCCAGGTTTATTGGTAATCTTCTTTTATACATTTTTTTCTGTAGGATACATCAATCATTAACAATTTACAATGTTAACTAACCACTAGTTATATCTGTGAGTGCATAAAGCATCTAAAGAACCATCTATGCTCCTTTAATCTTAGTGCATCTTATCTAAATCATCTTGGCTACTTAAAGCTTCTAAAAAGATTAGCTTCTCTTATCTATGCTTATACCAAGCAAATATTTGAGAGTCTCAAGGGAGCACAGCAGAACACTGTGGGATTGAACACTGTAGGATCGACAAACAGCCTTCTGAAGTTATCTTTAACTTCTCTATCTGGGCCTGCCACAGACAGCAGGACAATCTGTCTTCCCAAGGCTGTTCGAGGGCCCAAGAACTTCTCATATCCTCCACATTGTACCTTTACATAATGTATCTTAGTTCTTATTTTTTCCCCATTACCCTGCCCTCCTTTCACCCCCTCCACCCTTCCCTACTTACAGAGACTTTGTTTCCATTTTTTTCATTTTCTCATAGTTTTTCTTTTCCCTTCTTTCCTTTCCCCTACCCTTCCCACTTCCCCAATTCCTTTAGACCTTTTCTTCCAATTTCACATTATAAATTATACAATTTGAACCTTATTTACACTTTTAGTTTTTCACACCAGAGAAACTATTTGGTATTTACACATGTGTGTCCTATTTATTTCACTTAAGAGTATGGCCTCAATGGGC